AGTCAAGTTCTGCTACCGTTTAGCCTAAATGATTTCTAAATTCGGATTGCCAAGTGACGCGGCACATTCGAAGAAAGTTTAAGGTTGGCAAAACGGTACTTTGACCACCCACAACTTCATTAAAATATAATCCATGACAATTAATTACCACGCATCTTCTGATTAATGTGATGCGTCAATGAGCCCCGGGTTTAGTCGAATTCGGTTGTTGTTGTTGTTGTTGCTGTTATTGTTGCCTCGTAAATTATACGGTATTTGAACGAAGAAAGTTTCCGGTACTTGCGACCAGTTGGTAGATGTTACATCCTTCACATGGAAAAAATAAACAAAATTGTACAGAGGGCACAGACTACACCTCTGAGGAACCTGTCACGTCCTATTCAATAAGTTGCTTTTATGCATTTGAGGGTTTTCCACCTGTAGCTTTCTCTTAAGGCAACTCATTATGAAACATACGGAAATTTATCAAGAGTGCAGTAAAATATATACTCCATAATATTTTCTACACACAATATGGTACAACATATACTGCCCAAATGATTTACAAACTTATTTCCTTTTTGGATATACGGCTCTTTCAGTTCTATCACTGATGATTAATTTTAAATTGTTTGCAAGTTATCAACCCGACAAAGTTTTACATTACTACACACATTATTATTACATAGTACGCAACTTCAAAAATAAGCTTAGACAATGTTATAGTACATGTAATAACTACGTGTAATTCTTGTGGAAGCGTTTATAGAAAACATAATGGCGTCAAATAATATCACAAAAAAATAAGCGCATAAATTGAAATAGTTTCAACTAGACCCGTCATTCATTACAAAAATTAGAATTTCTTCGGTTCCAACGGTAATTGCCACTTTAAAACACTTCCTTGTGAGACCTTGTAAGTAGTTTCGACTTCAACTTCATCTTAAATGATTTGACTACCGCGTGTTGTAGTCAGACTTGAGCATTTGTAAGTTCACTTGTGTGTGTGTGTGTGTTCTTGGACTTTGCAAGATGCAGTGGAAAGAGCATGCGATGCTCTAATGGAAGGATGCGAGTCATTAGACTTTCATAAAATCACTTCATCAGATCTTTAAAAATTAGTTTTTAGCACAAACGCACTACTTAACCTCACCTGATAGTATCCGTCTCCTTGTCAAACTAAAAACTTGTAGTGTTGGAGCAGTTTCGGCATCTTCAAAATGCAATCCAAACTATTTAAAATTATTAACTTTGCTGTTACGTTCGACCGTGTAGGTTTATCATTGTGTCGTTATAAATCACGGGAGATTAAAGGCCATCTCAACATCAAGTTTCTTCTCTTTAATAGCCTCTGCACACGTTGGATGCTTTTAATTATTATTATTTTTCCATTAATATCGAAGCATTATTTTACCATTAGTTATTTTTAAGTGGAAAAGCGCGGAAAGATTTAAATCACCCAACTCCGCTACAACTCATTTACTCAACATCTATTGATGTTGCATTTGTTGTCGCTAATCACAATGAAATGAAAACGTAGTCGAACTGGCCTTTAAAAAGTTTTTACTTTAACGAGGATTCGAACCTTGACACATTGAGGACTACAAACCAATTAGACGGTTCTCCTAGTGTGGCCGTTTAATTTTTCTCTCTCACTATTTTTATGCGGTCATGTAAACAAACTTGTAACAACTTTCGTTTGAACCGACTCCGCTTGTGAGTAATAATTTTTAGTGGGGTGTATGAGCCTCTGACGTGTAATAAACTATATGTAGAAATGACAAATTGGTAAACAAACTTAGAATCTAGCGAATGAGAACGTAAACCTTTTTACTTCACGGGTAATGAAGGAAATCTTTCAAAATGGAAACTCTGTTCTATTCTGCTACCTACACACACAATACATAATATAAGTATGATGAAGTTGAAATGTATTAAATAACATTAAATTAAAAATTAATTTAATACCGTAATACACATTCAGTAAAATAATATAATATTGGTAATTTAAACGTCGACACAGACATCAGTTTTTCTTCGATGTATACTATTAAATCATTTATTGTGTCGCAACCAAAAATAAATTCTGCGGGCGGTGGACTTATTCTCAGTCTCTTAGAGCGAACATTTCTTTAATTTCTAATAGAGTATTTAAAATTTAATTATGTTTGTATTTCATCTATCTAATAAAAGTCAAAGGTTTTGCAAAACCACTATTTTTCTGTACCTGTAACTTTTGGAATGGTCGTACCGTCAACTGTTCAATTAGTTACCTTAATAAGGTAAATTTTATTTCTCTTTTTACCATTTTCATTGTCCCATTACGATAAACTATGTAGTTGTTTTCCTATGCGTACCACCGTACAGCACCGAGACTCTTGCGATTAAAACTTTCATGTTGTACACCCTTGTATGGAAGAAGAAAGGCAAACCAGTCCTTGCGAGGTCATTTCTAAGTTGCCCTTTGTCGTCTTCGAATTCTCCCTGCTCCTACTACTACTACTACTAATATTGATACTACAGCTACGCTTGCGTTGGCGCAAAGTAATACCTCAAAGACAAAGAAAATAGCGCAAGAAAAATAGGGTTCCTTGATTCACACGAGACAAAATGAAAGACCCTAAGAGACTCTGGTCGACTGGTCTATTGCCAGTCATCCGACATAATTATAAATTCCAAAAGAGATAATGACTTCTGAATTAAAAAATCGATTTCAATGCCATAACTCCAACTAACAGTTACTTACTTAGGGTAACGACTAGCTTTAGTGCAACTTGAGCTCAGCATGCTGGGGAATAATTCTGGAACAACAAATAATTGTTTTATCACAATTGTATCGCTTAGTTTAATAACTTTTAGTTATCACTGCAACGTACTTATTATTGAATTCCATCGCTACGGTGAGGCCTGTACATTTCACGTTTAGGTTTTACATAGGAAAACAATCCACATTTGAACTGAAGAAATAGAAAGAACAATTCCTTTCGTATACAGTTATTCTTCGTATGGGTACTATAGTTTGCGGAGTACTCTACGAGGGAAATATAGCAAAACCGATTCAGTCAAAATGCTAAATGCTAAAGATACGAAATGAGACACATGTAGACGTTTTAACTATAATTCCTTTTTTGTATGCGTGCGTGTGTGTGTGTATGTGTGTGGACTGACCACGATTAAAAGGTAGTGGAAATATGAAAACTGCAATATCACAAGAATTATTTTCTTAAATAAGACAAAAAAGTACCGGTGGTGGAAGACACAGTGACGTGTTACACTCACCAACGTTAAACGGCAGACAGTAAATCTGACAATTAGACAAGCAGACAACAGCTACGTGACTAAACTCTTAAAAAATCCATAGGTTCGTTAGTGATTAACGGAAGAGTTGAACTATAAATAAGTCAGTCAATGTAAATTAATAAATAAGGTCCTTCTCTGAGGGAATTAAAAGTAGAAGGGGATTGGACGTGATGTATTTATCGCCATCGACGAGGCGATCATCACCACCATTAACATCATAACGTGATTATGTGCACTACAACGCCACCACTACAGAGAGGACAAACGCAAAAACTACAACGAAACAGGCGCATTAAATGACTCAATAGACTTCCAATGTGGCAGCTTTCAATTTGCAGTAAATCTTTGGTATGCGGCCGTAACATGCCAGTTCTGCCAGTTGGCATTGATTCTTTTCTTTATGGCTCGACTCGAAGAATCCATCAAATAGAAGACCATCAATTTTATTTTATGTAATTTGCCCAAGTGGCAGAAGTTATTAAAAGAGAGAAACAGAGATAGACAAAACCGATGGAAGGAATAAGCCACGGCAATGGATGAATCACTTTATTGGCGTGAATATGTACTTAGTTTCGATAACACGTACCTTCCTCTTTTTTTTTTTTAAACCTTACAACCACTCACGTGTCGTACCTGAAAATTTTATTTCCTGACACTCACGAACTTATACGGCCGTCGAAACTGTGAAGGAGAATTGGAAAATTCATCCTGTCAGACAAAATCATTTGGACCTATGACGTTGTACTGTACGCTATTATTAAACGTATGTATTACATTAAGTTATTAATTTACTTATTATTTTATTACGTATTTATATAAAGTTGAATAATATAAATTGATTCAACTTTCAATTGACTACAAGCCTCCATGTGTAGTGCGATGTAGTTGAAAGTTTATTGTACAAATACACAAAGTGTCTTACTAGGTTACCATGCCGAATTTATTTATGCTCTTACTCTTCATATTCTTTCCACTTCCCCAAAATCGAATATATTTTCAGGTAGACTTCTACGTTTCACTCAGGTACAAGAACAAAAAACCGATATTTTCAACTTTTCATCAGCTCTCATTCTTCGCCACACATTTACTCATTTTCGGGTTCTCATGTGATACGTTTTCATGTAAACTCTCCCCGGTCTTTTTGATACCTTCAGGCACAGAAACCCAATACCTGAACTCACGCTGATAAGTACCTCATTCCAAATTAATTTGGATATTTTTATTTTCCTTTAAGTAATGACTGCTGTGCTCTTACTTACCGTTCGTGTTACCTCAGTCCGACGCTTCCCATCGTGTAGGTTTCACATTGTAAATAATTTATTATTATGTAAATAAGTCCCACGTTTGTTGTTCGTTACACCGACCCGTCCGAAACCTGAAAAGAACTATCGTTTGCAAACCAATAAAGAGTAAAATAAAAATTGCACAATAAAATTTTGCATTCATCTATTTAAGTGCGTCGGAAACAGGTTTGACGCCACGTTGTGATTAATTTCTTTTACAAGTGAAATTTACGCATTTGTGCGTCATCTCAACCTGACGCCTGGACGCGTACCAACAAAAATTAAGTCATCCTGTAAGCCCCTCGAAATAAAATCAACGTAAAATGAGGATGAACGGCGAGGAAAACGATAGACAAAGAAGAGACTTTGAACGTTACACTTTGTTCGCCGACCGACGGCGTATCCATACGTTGCAGGTACGTCCAGGTTCTGGCACGACGCCCGTCAGGTGGAATCGAACCACTCCGTTTCACAACGGCTACAGGTTTGAAGCCTGCACCCCGGACCACCGAAGCTCAAACGGGCGACTCTACCCGTCTGGTACTCGGTATATATAGTTGGATGGAATCAAACGCTGCCTCCGCGAAATAGAAAACCTCAGTTAGTTCTCCGGTTTTACAATCACGTGAACGTTACCTGTTGAAAATAATCAACGTCCTGAAAAATCTCACGGCCCGACAAATGTCTTCAAGATGAAGAAATATTTTTAGGGTATGTACCGCAGGGTGGAAGAGTGTACTGCGTCCTCGACGGACAAAAAGCATGAAATTTGTTTTTTATTTGCTGCTGTCTCATCACTCCGATGGACAACTCCTGAGTGTCGTACATTTTGGATTCCGACACTCACACCGACCGCTTCTCTCTGCTGTTGCACCGGGAAGCAAATGAAGTTACTGCAAAATGGAAAACGCCGAAGAAAATGGTGCAAGGTTATCAGTGCTCGCAGCCTACGTGATAAAAACGTAACGATGCAAAAAAGACTAAAACACAAAGACGGGCCTCTGAGGTTAGTTGGACGACGAGTACCACACCAATGGCCAGAGCATTCCAAAGGTCTGTCGCACCGTCGTGGTGACCTGTAATACCTGGGTTTTCCTGAGACCTTTTTATTCTTCACAATTTGCTGATAAAACAACCGTCAGTCAAATGTAGTGATGTGGAGTGACTTATCCATCAAATTATTAAATTTCAAAAGCTACGGTAGCTGGAGGGCACAAGGTGAACGCGTTGCCTTCCACAAGGTTTTACTGCCCATTGTATTGATAGCTTCTGATGAAGACATTTTCGGCGGTTTCTCTATTTTACTTGCCATAATGGTGATTGTATTGTCTATGTAATGACTTAATGATTTAACTAATGATAGTAGTTTCCTGTAAGTTGCCTGAGATCAGATTTTTTCTACTGTAACAGAACTGTAATTTAATTTTGCGTTCAGCCACTCCATCATCTTCAGTTTTCCTGCTGTCGTTTTTCTGCGTCTCGTGTCCTCTTCTGCCCGGTTGGATGTGTTTATGTCTCTAACTTTCTGGGAGTAAAGTTCGCTATTACGTCTCATTCTAAATTTTTCCTAAATGGACTTAACACTCTTCCGAGTGTCCCCGGTTTGTTTTCTTCCTTTTGCACAGAAGTGAAGCAAACAATACTGCGCAGTTTTGTCATTTGCGGAGAAAAAAAAATATTTCTCCTTGGTATTAACGAAATAAGTTTTCATAATTTTGTTAACTCTACGTAGGAAAAGAGATGACATTTTCTGAAATTGAGCAACATCAGTTAAGCTGTTGGTGCTGCTTTACGGTTGATAAGAACTTGGTAGCATACAAAATTTTGTTCACTTTTAATTTTAATATGGAGGTTCTCCGTGTATTTTTGTTCGAGTGAACTCCTTGATGTTTCGGACGAATTGATGATTTGACTTCTTGATTCCTCTCTTGTTGTACTCGTCTTGCCCTAGAGGAAATGTACAACAGATAAAAAATTAATAATTTTAAAGTTTGCTAGATACAAACAGCAAAACAATTATTTAATTTTTTCTTTGCTTTTTCTAGGACAAAATAACATAAGACGACATGACAATCACTCACGTGACAGATCAAATGGAGTGCGAATCTCAAGCAGTTTTTTTTCAGGCACGTAAGGTGCGTACCTTGAATTGTAAAATGAGTAACGCCGGGCACTGTGCCGGAGTGGACACTTTAAAATAAGAATGTATATGTATGGATCCGAACGCGTCAAAAGAAAAATTAAAGTCAATCTTAAAATTGTTTTCCTAACAAAATATGCCAAGTTCATGTCTGAATTACAACTTTTGTCGTCTTTCATTTCTAACTGACTTTAATTTTAGGCTTAAGAAGTTCCATCAAAGTCATTTGTAAACGCTCGCGTAATTCCGACTGACCTGTTTTGCTTGGAAAGTTACAGACTGATAAAGACATGTGACTTAATGTTGTGCGATCAAGTTAACAATTGGCTTTGCTGTATTTTTTTTACGCAGTGCAAAGTAAAAGTATGTAAAATCATTTTTTCACAAGTCTAACTCATGAAAACAAAACTTAAGTTTTTTACACAACCAAAGGTTAATTTTTGGTAACAAAAATTTTTAGACTTAATCGCAGGAACATTTATAGGAAGGGAGTACTTCTCTTTCAAGTTTACGTCAATGTCGTGGTATGAAATAATACTGCTTCAACAGTGAGAACAGTTAGTAAACGGTTAGTAAGTAACACAGATTCTTTTATATCCCAACAGAACAGAATCAGAGCTATAATTACACGTGTGACAAATTGTTTCGGCGGTAGTTTCGACTTTCACCTTTAATTTGAAAAATCCATGTGGCCTTGTGGACACTTCTAATTATGAAATCATTTGATTGTCAAGCACACACAGCAAATAAAAATTTTCGCTTCTGTTGGTTATTTCTGCCAGTCATTTAACCAGAGTTTTGAGAATACAAAACGGTCGTTGTTGGTATTTTGCAAAGTAACCAGATCTTTTACGATAAACAGTAATTTCATTTTCAAAGCGAAAACTGTCAAGGAAGCCTTTCGGAATCGAGTGTAATTAATTGAAAATTCCAAATAATGAAAAACATTTGAATAAAACATTCGGAATAAATTGTCCGCGGGAATGTACTCTCCGTATGTATTATTAGTCAGGATCGGAGCAAGGATTCTTTACGTAATATTTCCTCGTCAAAACTACTAATTTTCCCTCGTTTTAATGTTCAGCATCATCACTAATTTTCTCAATTATGGACCAGTGACGTGCGCACCCGAAGTGTTAATTTCTCTTACCACATGCCATTCTACGAAAGTAAGAGGAACCAAAAAAGACATCCAAAAAGTAGAAATTAAATCACTTAAATAAAGTAAAGGAAACCCTCGGCTATTCTAAACGATCATTCTGTTTCTATGAGGTTTCCGAATTTAATTTCCTATATAGTTTTGTTCCATGATGTTTGACAACATGCAAGAGCTTCGAATGATAAAATAAAACAGTCGTTACAACGGCATTACATGAGAAGTTAAATGCATTTGCAGATGTTCCCAAGTTCCATCTAAATAAATTCTGTTCCTACTCATTTATTTTGTTCTTATTAATTATTTGAGTTACGATCTTTAGAAGCACAAGTTGAATCTGTGTGATTGCATCTTTTATTCAATTTACCAAACCCCCTCTCCTCGGCTTTTGTCCACGCAGAAAATAACTCCAAGAAAACAAAAGGAGGCAATAAAACGTACGGGGTGGTCGTGTCTTTCGTTCAAAGGGATATTTCTTACGTAAGATGTCAGGTCCAGAGCCCGGTGGACAATGGTCACCCAGTTCGAACGTAAATCACAGGGTTTTTCACGTGTCTCTTACCGCCATATTTTCGGCCTTAATTACCCTGATTTGACAATAAATTTCTGTTTAAGATCAAACGGAATGCGCAAAACCAGGAAGAATGCCAAAGGCGTTCGATGAAAAATTTGAATTATTTTGCCCCTTCCCAGTCCGCCCGGAATTCCTGTCTTTTCGTTCGTTCGTCCCTGGGTCGGGCAAAACTTCTTTCAGGAGTGCCAAATAGTTTCCTCTCAACGTTAAAACTCAAGGTGATACTTAAATGACGTCACGTGAAGAAAGATTGCTTTTAAGATGATTTACAGGACGTCCATCTGCTCTTACTCGCAGGTAAACCAAGGTGAGACCGGCACCGATTCCTCTTCATTGTTTATTCTTATAAAAATGCACTTGTGGATGTTGCACTTAACCCAAAGTTCTCCCCCACAGCCCTGGATTTTGTCACCTAGCCTTACCCTATCCGTCTCCAACTCTTTTCTCCCACCATCATCCATCTATTGTTCTCTAGATGAGACTCTTTTGAATCTCTCTATGAAACCCTCGAAACCCTAATGAATTTTTAGAGATGGCGAACGCGACGGTTAAATATTCAGCTCAACAACTTCAAACTGCACTGTCAGTCGAAAGTGCTGCGGTGCAATCCATTTAATTTCAACCACGGAGGAATCATCTTGCAATGGCGTGATGGCGACATTAAAGAAAATTGTTTTTTATTGTTTACTATCCGGAAATAAACATCGGGAAACACTTTGCTCCCGTGACAATCTGGATAGACCCGGTTGCTAATTCCCGAAAATGTCTTTTCGCTTTATTTACTTCTTACACGAGCAGGAAACACACCATTTCACTCCGAAAAATAAATCGGAAATGCAATCATTTACATCTTGATACTCGCCGGCATCTCACACTTTCGACGGATTTCGTTTGTGACTTTTGGTTTCATGTTCATTTCCTTTCAAGAATCAGTGGAAACGCTTTTTGAGGAAGGGGTGGTGCATTCATCGCAGCAGAAATTACCACCGACTCTGTTTCGAAACGAACTCAACATGCATGATAATTACATGCATAAACCGAAATAGGAAAAAAGATTGCAGGAACAAACCTTCAGAGTACACTTACATTTTACAAGATTTGTTCCCTTTAAAGCAACTTGATGTAAATTTTGACGGCAGCCATCACTGCGCCACAACAACACTGAAATGGTACAATAGTGAGTTAATACATGACATTTTGTACAATGAAGTAACTCTACGTTTCGACTGTTCATTTCATTAAAGTTAGTGAGTTTCATGTAGCACAAAGACATTAAGTACTAAATGCAGGTGATAATCGATAAATAAATGACACCTAAAGAAACAAATAAATCCGACACGCGTTTTCCACAATGTTTCAATTGTTAAAACATTCCACGCAAAGTCAAAGTCATTGTACAAACGGAAATAATTAAAGAAATAAATTACAAGATACTTCGACATTTTAACAAAAGGCAGAAGTTGGGATTTGATTTGAAGCACTGGAACACATTCTAAGAAGAAATGTGTAAATATGTCTGAGATTAACCATTATAGAAAAAACCAAGTAGAAAACAGGAGGCCTCAAATATTTCCAATTCTACTGTTTTTTTTTTTGCAACACAAAGTTAAATCTTTGATGACCTTACTATTTAAACGTTGAAGACAATTAATGAT